GGGGGGGGGGGCCTTCTTTAAACAGTATCCATCGTAGAAACGTGAGAATTAGCGGCGTCGTCGTGGCTACAGACCTCTTACTTTTCCGATTTCAGATAGGTCCGGTTTGGGCAGCGCCTGCTTTTATTAATGACATCATTCTTCTAAATGTTATTTGAACAGTCATGCCTCTCTCTACTTAGGTTCTTTGTAAACATGGATTCCATATTGTGAGACGCTTTATTGTCCTCGACAATACGTTATCTGATCCATTTCTTTTGCTTTGCACATAATGAACATTTCTTAATTGCGGAACTCTTGCGTGGCAAAAGTATTACTGCTCATCCTTAATGTATAATAGTAAAATCATTAATAAAAGAAGTTGTACGGAGAAATCGATTTTTAGAGGTACTCGTCTGTCTCGATTCATAACAGTCCTTAGCGCTGTTGCGTTAGCAGACTAAGGCATCTGACGTTGATAGCATTCCACAGTTTTTTAATCGGCAACGCAACGAAAAAACGGATCGAAAAATACAACAGAGTGAAGCTGTTGCCTATGGAGGATATAAATGTGATATCGGCGGATAATAAATTCTTAGACGATACAAGCTGTTGAAATGGGCTTTCTTAGACGAGTCGCTGGCCTTACGCGTCTCGACATGGTCCGGAATATATCCGGAAGAGCCTTGGAATACAGCCTTTGCTTCTCCAGATTGAGAAGTCACAGCTGCGATGGCTTGGGCGTATGTTGCAAATGCCTCCAGAAAGGAAGGCTAAGCAACTGTTTCTTGCGAATTCGACCGATAGTAAGCCCATGGGGCAGCCAAGATTGACCTGGTGCAAATATATTGAAGGAGACTGTTTCAGACTCCAGTCGTCTTCTGCCGAAGCTCAGATTTTGCACACGATCGGGAACGTTGGAAGCTCTCTTTGACATGTCTGCCTCCGCGACCCGAAAGGAGAAGCGGCGATGGTAGATTATGATGTTGATCAGCGGATAATTGAAGGGTCTCAGGAAAGCGTGCCAAGATAGAACTATGATGAAGTGATTCTTTCATGAATTACGTTCACGAGAGAGACCGTGTGAATCTTTCAGTCGATCAGTGCTTGGTACAATTAAGGATGACATTTGCTGTCGATGCCACCTGGCGATGTGCAAAATTAGAGTACAGTAACGGTTCTGCTAAAAGAACTCCGTTATGACGAATGACTTCGTTCAACAGTGCGCTTCTGTGACCTGGTATTGCGCGATCTAATTCAATAAGCATTAGTTTACTTGTGGTGTTTATTAAAAATTCATAAGGACGATGTCAGTTATAACGAAGGAAAATGCTGGCGCGTTCGTTTTGTAAGAGTTTAGTTTTAGGGAATAGTAGTTCTTTCATGTGGAGCTTAGAAGTGTTGAAATTCGTTGTACATGGCCGGAACCAACAAGACGTTTATTGTATAAAAATGTTCTTCGTAGTGGAGTTTGTTAGAATTGATTTCACGTACATCACGGATCCTCTCCAATGGATATCATGTGAAGGTGTCAGAAGTTGCAGTACTTTGATTGATAGTTGGAGTAAAATGATAATCATCTTTTTGACTAAAGAAACGCATAAAATGCTGAATTAAAATATTGTAGCGACGTGGTATAAAAACAGTACAGTAACACATTGATAGATCACAAAGCATTTACGTTTTTGGGCCGCAACTATAAATGGGCGACATGATGTTATTAAAGCAATTATTTTAGTATCAAAACAACA